GAGATGTGGTGATCTCCGAAATAGTGCTATAACTTCTACCGCTTAGAGTTTGTTGCTTTCTCAATTTTTCCTAATAAACTATCGTGGTACAAAGCTCAATAAAAATATTAGTAATAAAACTACATTTTTGTAATAATTACAGTAATATAACAGTCTTATTTATTGTTAAATGAATGTTGTAAGTATTAACTTGGAGTAAATTAGGGTCCACAATTACTGAAACATCGGAGTTTTCGTATTTTAAGCGTATTGCTTTTCCATGCCAAGATAATTAAGTGCACCGAGTTTGGTATAAATTTATACAAATTGACAGCATCGCGACAATTGTGCACCCTACGTCGAATTTGTGCAAGTCAGACGCATTCTAAGCTAACCTGTTGAAGGATTACATAGAGATCACACTACGTGATGCTGCACCAAATGTCGATAGTGAAACAACCGTACACCACATTGTCACCAATGGTCCCCCAGTCCACGAGCGCCCACGCAAACTCACTGGTGAGAAGTTGAACGCCGCAAAAGAAGATTTTAATCTGTTGCTGCATCATGGTGTCATAACACCTTCGAGCAATCAATGGACAAGTCCCATCCACATGATGCCCAAAGAGTCCGGTGGCTGGCGCACTGCAGGAGACTTTCGCTTAAAAATCAACATAAAAAAATTCCATATCGGTGGAAGTGAAGTAGTCTACTTAGGCTATTCTGTGAGCCAGCATTGTTACCAGCCTCCTGAGGAAAAAGTTATCCAAAGCCCCAAACAGTTGTTGAATCGCGCCGCTTCCTCGGTATTGTAAATTATTATAGGCGTATTCTGCCTCACGCAGCAGAAATTCAAGCTTCCCTCAGTGAGTGCCTGAAAACAGCGCCCATCTCGCTGTAAATCCTTTGGAGAATACACAAAGCCCACGTTTTTTGTCGAATTAAAGTTTAAAATTTGTTATTTAATTTTCCGATGTCAACGAATAAGAATAAAGTAAATGTCAAATAATTGTTCAGTGATTGCAAATCAGTTTTAGAATAGGGAATGAGGTAGTTTAGTACTTTTTTTAAGGCGGTAAAAAGTAGTTTTTTCAAGAAGGAAACATCGATTTTGCTAAGGGAGTCAAGATGGCGGATTAGAGCGAGAACGCTGTCAATATCCAACACCTTGTATTATTCCACCATGAGTTTTATATTTGATCCCTAGTTTTGTGAGTATATTGATTACTTCGTGTGTTTTAAAATTTTCTGGTTTTTGCCGCACGGTGTTAAATGTCCTCTAAATAAACGAGTAGTATACAATACATACAGAAAGTTTTGTTGCAACGATTGGTAACCGATTTATCAAATTCCACTAAACTCTGCGCACTTAATAACCGTCGTACGGAAAAGCAATTTGTTGAAAATTATTCAAATCGGACTAAAAGTACACCCGCTTCCCGTATAACGGTAAATTTCAGAAATACGAAAACTCCGATATTTCAATAACTGAGGACGCTAATTTACTTCAAATTAATAGTTACAACAATCTCCTAACAAGAAATCAGACTGCTATAGACTTTTAGGAATTGGGCATAGCACCGCTCACTTTATAACTACAAAGTTGTACCTCGGTAACCACTTAATCGATTTGTACCTAACTAAGTTCAATTATATCACTAAGTCTAACGCTTCATATTATCGAAAACGTTTTAAGTCGGGTACAGACCCCTACTTATCATGCAAAGGTAGTCTCATTATCTAAGTGAAAGGTAAAAATTCTTTTCATTCACCCGAGTGCCACCAGTGAATGGATTGTATGCTTGTATTTATGTATACGTTCAAACAAATAAATACATACATACACATATACATATATTCGTATCAGCCGAGCAGGTTTGAAATCGTGTCCAATTGGAAAGTTAAGGAGTAATTGTTGTTTTATCATTCGGACTTAAAGGTGCTGCTGGATAATTTTTATTTGCTTAATTTTAGACGGCTAAGCAAAAGTAAGAATTGGCTGGTAGCTCAAAGGGATAAGGTCAGCAGGAAATACATCCAAACGTTCTCGTAAGAACTGATATATCTTCCCTCAAAAATAAAGACACTTGAATTGACTCAAAAGTGTGCTACACTCACCGCCGTCGTTATCAATGTTGTCCTTGCAGTTCATTTCCAGCGCAATCGAGCAATCAGATCCGGCCCATCCTTCAATGCAGTCGCAGCGATATTCGCCATTTTCCAGTGTACATTGGCCATGACGCGAGCAGCCATTCTCACATCCAGCTGAAGCGTGAAAAGCGAAAACAAATACATTTGCGATTAATTAAAATTGAATTGAAGAAGTATCAAGATAGGCATATTATATACATATATACCATGTAAGTACATAGAAATAAAAAACGTAAAATAGTAAATTGCTATTTGGAATATCAGATATACTTTGCTGTCCATTCATTTTAACCGCTCAAATATTTATTTATTTTTTTATATTTTTTTCTTGACAACAAAGTACCTCATTTAAGATTCGCAAGCAAAATAACTTTCTTGCACCGCAGCTGTGATTGCTTCAGTCAAAATCTCTTTCATATGCAAGTTTAAAAGCCAATTTCGATTGAATAGTAGAAAGTTGTCGTCTCCGTCAAAGAACTTCACTTAACTGTCAATTACAGTTCGTTCCTTTCGTTTCTGCATTCTTCTTCTTACCCACCTCGTTCGATGGGTATGCAATAAAATACCTCCCCCTGCCGCACCGGCGTTAGAAAGCCCAATCAAATTTGAAGTTTGCAGACACACAAATAGACTGCGATTCCATCAAACGGCAAAGTGACTCGACTCCCAGCGTCTTCCACCTAAATGGTTTCATTCAAGTTTATAAAATAAAATAGCTGACGAAGGCAGTGCCGGAGGAAGTGATGCCAACCGAATGGAAACGAATGAAGTGCGAGCTATAGACAAGGTGACATTTACGAAAAAAGGAAATAAACATAAAGGTTACATGAAAAAATAAAAGCAAACCGTGGAAGGGATAGAGAAGAAGGGGTGATAAAAAA